AGGCTCTCTGTTGCAAGAATGTAAAGCTTACAGGCCCATTACACTTAACTGAAGACTTAAGAAATGGCTGAATTAAACCCAAGGTGCCACTGAGCCAAACGGTAACTGTAGTCCCTGAAAAGTAACCACTCAATAATTCATAATACAAATGCCTTTGCCAAAAGGTGGTAGGTTTACAATAGGTGGGGCAAGTATTATTTGCAGCCAAGCTACATCTTAAGTGCTTGTTTATTGCTGTTTACATCGATTGTTTGCTTTGGCTGTTTTTTTGTTGTTGTTTTTTTTTACATTTTTAGAAGGTAAATGTAATGTTTGTTTTTTATCTTAAAGGAATAGTTCACCCAAAAATGAATACATTAATAAAAATGGTTCGACCATTCAATTAAAAAATTGTTCCATCATATAAACACTGTGTTGGGGAAAGTAACTTTTAAAAGTAATGCATTACTATACTGCATTACTCCATGAAAAAGTAACTAATTGTGGTATTTAGTTACTTTTTATTGAAAGTAATGCATTACGTTACTTTTGCCTCACCTTTTTGTCACCTGGGCTGGACTTTATTTCTGTTTTAATAACAAAAAAACCCAAAAGTTATATTTTTGCCAACTCTAAGTGAAATGAATAAGCCTCAGGCTGAAGGAAGTGCCTCTGCACCTGCACCTAATTTTCTCTCAACACAGGGACAGGAGAGCTGTCAGTGAGAAATGGGAAAACAAAGTAACTCAGATATTTTGTTGTAAATTTAAAAGTATTGCATTACTTTACTAGTTACTTGAAAAAGTAATCTGATTACATAATATACTAAAAAGACAAAAAATATTATTAAAAAATTATATATATATATTAGGGCTGTCAAAATTAATGCGTTAATAACATGTTAAGGCAAATTCATTTTAACGGCATTAATTTTATTAACGCGCGATTAACGCAGAGCGCATTTTCTGTTTGACCCGTGGCCTAGCCCGTAGTTGGAGAAATGGAGATGCACAGTGTTGCCAACTTAGTGACTATGCATACCCCTTTAGCGACTTTTTTTTTCTTTCAAAAAAGTGCCTAACGACAAATCTTTAGGGTTTGCCCAAGCCTATTTAGTTTCTGAGACTCGCCGGTACTGCCGCGCGAACGTGAGGTCTTGCTTTCCCAGCGCGCGCACACACCTCTTTTTCTCTCTGTGCGTCTGCTCTGTTCAGCGAGTGGCTGAGAGGAGCAACGCACTTTCAGTTAAAACAGATATTATGTTGCTTCTCTAATTTTACGGGATTTTCAGGATTTTTGCACAGATTAACGTCTTGGAAGGGAGAGCTGGTTATGTAATCTTAATGGGTCGCGTTTCAGTCACTATTTCATATTCATTCTGTTGTCTGACAACAGAAACAGTCAAATATATCAATGAAAATAGTTTTATTGAGAATTTAGCTGCATCAAAATGCAGTATGGGGGCACAGAGAGGCAAACAAATGTAATAATAAATAATAAATGTAAATTTGGCAAGTTCAGAAGAAGTGAGCTGCCCTGTCGTGCGAAAATGTAAACAGACTTGTGTAAGTAAATTGCTCAGTGCAAAGAAAGAGAAGTAATGGGAACCTGTTATTTCTATGTTCTTTTTTTGTGTCTAATAGACATGACCAAGTTATTTGAAAAACATCTATGACCTTTGAAACATGTCTTCATGCTCTATGTTGAGTATGGTTTCACTAATAAACATACATTTGCATAAAGCATCCATATTTGTCCATGCCTATGTTGATTCGAGTATTAAAAACTTGAAAAGTATTCATTTAAGGTACATTTAGAACAGATAAAAATGCGCGATTAAATTGCGATTAATCACGAGTTAACTCACGACAATCATGCGATTAATCGCGGTTAAATATTTTAAATATATATATATATATATATATATATATATCATGCATTTAAATAATTATATTTATTATTTTCATTATTAATTTTTAATTATATATAATGTTTTGTATGTTACAAAAATGTAACACAATAAAATAGTATTGAGTATTTAATATTATTGCAATTTAATGAATAAATCTAAGTGTAATTTATCTAAAAAATAATTTATAATACACGAGTTTCACAATTGAGTTGAATTACTGAAATAAATGAACTTTTCCACGACATTCTAATTTATTGAGATGCACCTGTATATTGGTATTTTTTTATTCATTGTTATGATATATAGTGCCTTCATCTTGACAGTGTCCTCCTATTTAGGACATTCTGCAAAACTGGAATTAATATGATTGAAGGATGAGAGCATTTTTGGGTGAACAGTCCGTTTAATTGTACACGAGAGAGTCAGTGAATCTCTAGATCAAAGTGATTTTCAAGGCACATCTTGTACACAGCATTCAATATTCAGTTGTATTAAAAACACCCGCTGCAAATCCACAGTCAGACATCTTTTCTTATTACATTAGTGCCATTTTGGTTTCCCCTGAATGGGACGCACGCTAAATGAAAGTTACTCTAATCAGAGGCCAGATTTTATTGCCGTGCCCTTTACGTTAGTTTATCTTTGTTGGTAGTTTTGATAGAGTGCTTGCTCAGCATGGAGGGCATTAGGCTCATTATTGTGCCGCCGCTATCAGGAGATGAGACTTCAGCGTTACTGCAGGAAAACACAATATTCAGCCCCTCGCTGCGGGATCTTATTTACCACCACAAAAGATGGCTTCGGCGTCGATAAAACAGCGCGGGCGTTTGCGCCACTCTCGCTCGGTTGTGATTTTTATTACGTCTTGTTGATCTAGGTGAACTGTTGTTGAAAGTGCTGTAGCTATTTTCATCATGTAGCCGTCTAGCATTAGAAAACGCTCCTTCCGTTTCGTACATCTCCACCTTCAATTTGCCAGCAACTTCTTTGTTATTACTGGGCGGATGTGAGTGCATTTCCCCTGCTCATTTCCCTGTGTGCCAAGGGTAATCAGACTGTTGTGTCTAAGTGTGTGTGTCTCTGCATGTCAGTAATGCTCCGCACACACACACAGTCTCTAGTCATTGCAGCACAGTTGGTCTTGGCGCTGCGGTCGTGCCGGTGTGTGCCAGTCCGGCCCGGAGCCTTACAAGCCCTCTTGTGCTAGATAAAACATTGCGGTTTGTCACTTGTGCACTCACCACACACCAGCTACAAGTGAAGAGGAGAGAGAGTCATAGAGCCAATCAAGTGGATGGGGATTATTAGGAGGCCATGACTGACAAGGGCCAGTGGCGCGTATTTACGAGAAGTGCCATGGGATTTTTAATGACCACAGAGAGTCAGGACCTCGGTTTAACATCTCATCCGAAGGACGGTGCGTTTGACAGTATAGTGTCCCCGTCACTACACTGGGGCATTAGGACCCACACAGATCACAGGGTGAGCACTAGAGGTCGACCGATGTATCGGTTTTGCCGATTAATCGGCACCGATAGTTGATTGCTGGAACTATCGGTTATCGACAAAAATCCATGCCGATAGTTTTCCGGGTTGCGTCCATTGCTGGAGCGGCTGAGAAGGGTCTGCTGTCATTACACAGTGCGAGAGCGGCCTCTAGTGGTTGAAATCACTGACAGCACGTGCTATTTGTTTAGACACGTGATACTGCACGCTGAACAGAGTGGGAAACTTCAGACGCGGATTTAAATGCAGCCGACAGAAAATCCTGCCTAGCCACAGAGCGCCATTCACACAGTTTTCCTTTAAATTACATTATATTGGTCCCGAATCGTTGTTAATGTACATAATGAATTGTGTATTGTATCGGTCGACCTCTAGTGAGCACCCCCTGCTGGCCTCACTAAAACCTCTTCCAACAGCAACCTAGTTTTCCCAAGAGGTCTCCCATCCAGGTACTGACCAGGCTCAGCCCTGCTTAGCTTCAGTGGGCAACCAGTCTTGGGCTGCAGGGTAATATGGTTATATATATATGTGTAGGTGTGTGTGTTTAAATTTAAAGGTTTTGAATAAATATATAAATACATAATATTTTTAATAAAGTGGCCAAATAATACAAATAATATTTTTGTAATGATATTTAAATAATATATATCAATTGGACACACACATACACATTATTATGGGTATTATTATGATTTTTCATAGTTAATTATAAATAATAATGATAAAATAAAATGTATACAATTTGTATAATAATTAATTAATATAATATTATTTATATTTAGATAAATACGTAATATGCAAATATATAAATACATAATATTTTTGTAATAATTTTAAATACCATGTAAATTAAGCATGCACACACATTATTTACTTTATTATGATTATTTATTGTTAATTATAAAACAACAACAATAATAATAAAATATATAAATAAATAACATTTATATAATGATGTATATTACCTATAAGAAAACTGACAAATAAATAACATCTATCTATCTATCTATCTATCTATCTATCTAAATAAAATCTAAATAAATAAATCTAAATGAACAAATAAATAAATAAACTGAGTGAATTGGGATGCAACCTGTGAGCACAGACTTCACCAGAGGGAGATCTAAGGTCAACATGATGACCCATCATCCATCTATGTCTGCAGACTGACCCATTCTCTTCTAGCACTGAGTGTGTGCTTTACTGAGTCTAGCACAGGAACCTAAATGGCCTCCTCATTAGCTCCCTGCATGGGGCGCGTGGCCGCCCGTGGCTCTCTGCATCCTCAGACAGAGTAATCCTGTCTCATTTCATGTCTTTGGCCTGCCATCTGACCTCTACCATCCCTGCCTGCTTGCTTGTATTTTTCAGAGGCGGCAGAGTGTGTTTTCAGACAGAAAGCCAGTTCTTCTGGTGGTTAGCAGCTGTTGACAGTATCCATGTGTCTGTCTAAGAGATTTTGTCTTCCAGGGACTGTTTGTTTATGGGTGTATGTGTTTGTCCTTGAGTGGTGAATGACCATCAGGGTGCAGTGTTTGGGGAAGTGCTGGTGGTTGCATGTGTGTGTTTAACTGGAATTGTGTGTGTGTGTTTGTGATTGCAGAGTGCAGCGGCAGCTCCGAGTCCTGTCCTTGGAAATATGCCCCCAGGAGAGGGTATGCCAGTCGGCCCCGTTCCTCCGGGCTTCTTTCAGGTACACACACGCATTTGCTGCATAGCCATGGAGAGCTGGGATCTTAACAGACTTATTTGCCATATATATGAAGTTTTAATAAATAATATGCTAGCAGACTGCTTACTGCATACTGTGCAGTACTGTATATTTGCTACTATGGATGGTCAAGTAGACGACATTGCATTGTGGGAATTGTCTTATATATAATGGGAATTGCCTTGAA